GAACAATTCAAGAGGTGTGTGCATCCCTGCCCTCGTTTCATCACGGGTGGGGACGCACACTCTCTATGTGTGTATTGTTTGGGAGTGCAGCACGCACGGGCAGCTCTCGAGGGGGCTGCTTGTGAAATGTGTGAGGCTTTGCCTATTAGAGTGCTGCGCTCCCGGCTGGCGTGCTTTGACGAGCACGGTCAGGCTCGCGTTCCCCAGGGTTCCGGTCCCGCATATGTCGAGGCGATGCGGCGACTGAGATCCTGGGGTTCGCAGCGGGATCTGGCGGAGGAGAGTGAGAATGCTGAGGCATTTTCTCGCTCGCCATCGGCTGGTCCCGCAGCCTCTGAGAGTGGTGTGGGAGCCCGCGCTGCGGTTTCTCCTACCCGCGATCAGGTCCCGGTGCTTGAGCTGTCTACTTCTGAGGAAGGGGACGTGCTCAGCATCGATGCGGACGACCGTGATCTCAGCACGCCATCACGCGGCCTGGGTTATGAGGAGCTGGTGGAGGTTGTGACACGCGCTGTGGCCAGACTAAACATCAGCTGGCCACAACATGAGCAGGAAACGCAAGTCACCAGTAAAATGGACGAGCGTTACCTGCAGCGCAGGTCACAGCCTCACCGCCGGGGTCTGCCGTTTTTCCCTGATCTCCATAAAGAGATCTCGAGAACGTGGGAAAGACCGCATTCGTCCCGTATTTCGAGTCCCAATGTAATAGATTACAGCAATGTTATGGGGGCTCGAGATATGGGATATGGGAAGATGCCGAAGGTGGAGGAGGCTTTAGCGAGCTATCTCTCTCCCGAATCGGCGTCTTCCCTAAAGACCCCGGTGTTGCCTAGTAAGCCCTGCAGAGAGACATCTGCATTGGTGGGCAGGGCTTACATGGCGGCGGGTCGGGCTGGTTCGTGTCTGCACTCAATGGCGATTTTGCAGGCATACCAGGCCGACCTCCTGAAAGATTTGGATGAGGGGAGGGGCCTACTCCTGAAGATGTCGCGGAGTTGAGGAAGGCCGCAGATTTGTCTCTCCGGGCCACTAGGGAAGCGGCCAGCGCTATTGGCCGCTCTATGGCGGCCATGGTGGCCACGGAGAGGCATCTGTGGCTGAACTTATCCGGTATTAAAGAAAAGGATAGGTCCTTCCTGCTGGATGCGCCGCTTTCGGCTTCTGGCCTGTTCGGCGACGCCGTTAATTCGGTTGTCGACAGGTTTCAGGAGTCGAGAAAACAATCTGCGGCGTTCCAGCAGTACCTCCCCCGGAAAGCGAAGGCCAAATCTAGTAGGGGGGGGCAAAGCAATCAGCCCCAGCCATCAGCCAGCTCCTCCCACAGGGCAGAGCAGAAGGAGAGCGTTTCCTCTAGAGCCCCCCCTCCGGGGTCTTGGCAACAGAGGAAACGCTCCCAAAAACCGAAGTCCTCCAGCCAGAGGGGCGACCTGAGGGACGTCATTCAGGCTAAGAGGACTTCGGAAAAGAGGTCCTAGCCAAGGCAGGACTTCAGAGGGCTGCCCCCTCCGCAGTGAGACAACCGAGGTTGTTCTCACAACGGGGCCCTCTAGGAAAAGATGCAGGTCCGCCGTTAACAGCGCTTCGGGCCGCATCAATTTCCAGCGAAAAGACACCAGAGGCCAGCCTCGAGAGGCTGGTACCCTTAGCAGATTTTGTAGAGGGATGGTATCATCTTCCCAACATATCTCCATGGGTCCTGCAGATAATACGAGTTGGGTACAGACTGCAGTTCGCGCACCGCCCCCCCAAGTTCTCTGGGGTGGTGCTCACTGCGGTGGTCCCAGAGCAGGCTCAGGTGTTGGAACAAGAAGTACAGACTCTGCTGTCGAAAGGAGCCATAGAACGTGTTCTTCCGGTAGACAGGGAGTCCGGGTTTTACAGCCGGTACTTTATAGTTCCAAAGAAGGATGGGGGGTTAAGGCCAATTTTGGATCTCAGGGTGTTGAACCGGTCTCTGAGAAGGTTCAAATTCAGAATGTTGACCATTCCAACAATCGTGAGTCAAATCAGATCCGAGGACTGGTTTGTCACGATAGATCTGAAAGACGCCTATTTTCACATCTCCATCCTTCCTTGTCACAGGAGGTACCTGAGGTTCGCTTTCGGGGGCGAAGCATACCAATATCGGGTTCTTCCGTTCGGCCTAGCACTCTCTCCCCGCACATTTACCAAGTGTATGGACGTGGCCCTTGCTCCACTGAGACTTCAGGGGATTCGCGTATTGAATTATCTCGACGACTGGCTTATTTTGGCCCAGTCTCGGGAGATGGCAGTTCGGCATCGAGATGTCGTTCTTGGCCATATTCAAAAATTGGGGTTAAGACTCAATTTGAAGAAGAGTGTGCTAGAACCGTCCCAGGGCACGACCTTTTTGGGAGTCGTGTGGAACTCGATTACAATGCAGGCACGTATGTCTCCCGCACGTATCGAGTCAATTCTGGCGATGGTGTCCAGGGTGAGGCTAGGTCAGGCCGTCACTGTGAAACACTTTCAAAGGATGCTGGGCCTCATGGCAGCGGCATCCAACATTATTCCTCTGGGCCTCCTTCACATGAGGCCCCTCCAGTGGTGGTTGAAGACCAAGGGGTTCTCACCCAAAGGAAATCCGTTCCGTATGATCAGAGTAACGCGCAAGTGCCTTCAGTCTCTGCAAATATGGAAGAAGCCTTGGTTCCTATCCCAAGGGCCAGTGTTGGGGGTGTCATGTCGCCGGGAAACCGTTTCGACAGACGCCTCCCTTACGGGCTGGGGCGCGGTCATGGACGGCCGCTTTACCAGGGGTCTGTGGCAGGACCATCATCGCACTTGGCATATAAATTGCCTGGAGATGATGGCGGTATTCAAGGCTTTGAGGAGCTTCCTCCCAGACATCGAGGGTCGCCACGTCCTTATACGGACAGACAATACGTCAGTGGTGGCCTATCTGAACCGACAGGGGGGACTCAGATCGCGCCCTCTGTGCAAACTGGCGCATCAGATTATCCTTTGGTCCCAGGGAAAGATATTGTCAATAAGGGCAATGTATATCCCAGGGGTTCAGAATCGGGGAGCAGACATCCTGTCGAGGCAGGGGCTGAGGCCCGGGGAATGGAGACTTCATCCGGATGTGGTGAAGTCGATATGGGAGAGGTTCGGACCGATGGAAGTGGATCTGTTTGCGTCTCGAGAGACGTCCCACTGTCCACTTTGGTTCTCCCTCTCACATCCAGCCCCACTGGGGTTGGATGCCATGGTACAGGCTTGGCCGAGGCTTCGCCTGTATGCTTTCCCCCCGATCGCTCTGCTCCCAGGGGTCCTGGAGAGGGTCCGTCAAGAGGGCATCAGTCTACTTCTGGTTGCCCCGAGATGGCCGACACGAGTATGGTTCTCGGATATAATATCACTCCTCATAGCTCCGCCATGGCCGATTCCTCTGAGGAGGGATCTATTGTCTCAGGCGGAGGGCACAATCTTCCACCCTCGCCCAGAGTTGTGGAAGCTGTGGGTCTGGCCTCTGAGGGGGTTCAGTACCTAAATGCTGGCTTATCAGCTGAGGTGGTTGAAACCATACTTAGCTCTAGGGCCCCATCTACCAGGAGATTATATGGCCTCAAGTGGAAGGTGTTTCACACTTGGTGTGGAGAACGAAGGTTGGATCCAGTAAACTGCCCAGTGGCTTCAGTTCTGGAATTCCTTCAGGATCGTTTCTCTGCGGGTCTCTCCCCGTCCACTCTTAAGGTGTACGTGGCTGCCGTTTCGGCTTTCCACGCGCCAGTAGATGGTGGACCTCTGGGGAGGCACCAGTTGGTCATTAGGTTTCTCCGTGGTGCTTGGAGGATGAGGCCGGCGATCAGGTCCAGGGTGCCTGCCTGGGATCTGGCAATAGTTCTGGAAGGGTTGTCCCTCGCTCCCTTCGAACCTTTAGAGTCGGCTTCGCCTAAGGACTTAACGTTGAAAATGGTCTTTCTCTTAGCGATTACCTCTCTTAAGAGGGTGGGAGATCTCCAGGCCCTGGCGGTAACACCAGCTTGCTTGGAGTTTGCCCCTGGCAAAGTAAAGGCCTTTTTGCACCCGAGTCCGGGCTACGTGCCTAAAGTTCCTTCGAGTACGGCTCGCTCTGTAGTCCTTCAGGCATTCCATCCTCCACCTCATGTGTCGGCGGGATAAGAGAGGCTTCACTTGCTCTGCCCCGTCAGAGCTTTGAGTGTATACTTGGAAAAGTCTGCTTCTTGGAGAAGATCTGACCAGTTGTTAGTATGCTTTGGGTCACCTAAGAGGGGGCTCCCGGCGACCAAACAAACTATAAGTAACTGGATTGTCCAGGCTATTACTGAGGCTTACAAGGTGCGTGGGGTTCCTTCACCTTTGGCCTTAAGGGCTCACTCGACTAGAGGCATGGCTTCCTCTAGGGCCCTTCTGTCGGGAGTACCTCTGCAGGAGATTTGTGAGGCAGCCGGCTGGGCTACCCCGTATACTTTCATCAGGTTTTACAGTCTCAGCCTTCCCAGTACGCCCGGTGCACACGTACTCGGCCCTTGCTGAGTGCCTAATCAGTTTCACTCTGGGGCGGGTCTGTTCGGTGCGTGGCCTAGTGGGTACTCGTTCCCCAAAGAGTCGATTTTATCGACGCAGTGTTGAGTTCCCTCGATAGGGAACGTCTCGGGTTATGACTATAACCCTTGTTCCCTGAGAAGGGAACGAGACACTGCGTCGTGTTGCCACGCCCCCTTTTCAGACCCTTGAGCGTCTTGCTTCATCGCGAGGCTAGTGTGTGTTGTGACAGCGTCACTTTTATACTTCCGGGTATGCCGTCACATGTTACGTCACGACGCAACACCAATCAGGATTGGATTAGTTTCATTCATACTTCAGAGGCGCACGCTTAGGGAGCGTCCCCAAAGAGTCGATTTTATCGACGCAGTGTCTCGTTCCCTTCTCAGGGAACAAGGGTTATAGTCATAACCCGAGACGTTCTTTTACTCGTAGTGTCTTATGAAGTAAAAAGTGTGTGTTTCTCTTACTTGGGTCTTCATTGGGAAGATACTGAGGTTCATCTGTGGGTTCCAGAGGGATCTGAGGGACCGGAGGGGTCACAGAAAGCTGGAAGATGCGTCTCTCGTGCAGGCCGCAGTAGTGATGGTGGAGATGACAGGAGTATAGCCCCTGATCTAGGAGCTGGATGTCTGAGATTATCAGAGAAAAATCTCCCTGCGAGAATGCTGTGGCAGAAATATTCATCTTTTGTTGAACAAACAGTGGCCCGTAGTGACGCCTCTCGCCAGAAGCGTACAGGTCGATGAGTCGATCGGCGCGGTCATGTCGGACCCCTGGAGGTTGACGATCCCAGTGCACCACCTGTTGTTGGTCTTCCTGACTGTTGCCCTCGGTCCAGATTGGCCGGCGGTTAACGCAGGGGAGAACCACCGTGCTGCCCACAAGAACCACATACACAGCCTTCTGACCGTCCCAAAACCGCCTCTCCTTACGTGCTGAGAGAAAACCCCAGCTGGATGAGTATGCAGTGTTGCACTTGAAACAGGCCTCACAACGGAAGGGGCCTCCGTTCACTTGCACTCGAAAAAGATCCCCGCCATTATGGAAATTAATGGGCTTGAAGCAAAAAGGCCCCCCAAAAATCAAGATATAAGGGGCAAAAAAAGTCCCTGTGACTTCTAGTTTTTAATATTTATAACAGGATATAGAGTACTGTTTTCCTGAATATCAGCACAATTGCAAATGTGATAGCCTATTGATTTTATACAGCAGTTCAATAAACAAAGTTTATTTGAAACAGGCTCAGGCCGTGTCTGAGCAAAAAATACTTAAAAACAGAAAAACAAAACAGATACAGTGGGGCCAAAAAGTTTTTAGTCAGCCACTGATTGTGTAAGTTCTCCTACTTAGAATGATGAGAGAGGTCTTTATTTTTTATCATAGGTACAATTCAACTATGAGAGACAAAATGAGAAAAAATAAAATCCAGGAAATCACACTGTAGGATTTTTAAAGAATTTATTTGTAAATTATGGTGAAAAAATAAGTATTTGGTCACCCACAAACCAGAAAGATTTCTGGCTCTCACAGACCTGTAACTTATTCTTTAAGAGGCTCCTCTGTCAAAGACACCTGTTTTTTCACAGTCACACTCCAAACTCAACCATGGCCAAGACCAAAGAGCTGTCGAAGGACACCAGGAAGAAAATTGTAGACCTGCACCAGGCTGGGAATAGTGAATCTACAATAGGCAAGCAGGTTGGTGTGAAAATACAAACTGTGGGAGCAATTGTAAGAAAATAGATGACATACAAGACCATTGATAATTTCCCTCGATCTGGGGCTCCACGCAAGATCTCATCCCATGGAGACAAAATTATCATGAAAACGGTGAGCACAAATCCCAGAATGACCTGCAGAGAGCTGGTACCAAAGTAACAAAGGCTACCATCAGTAACACACTACACCGAGAGGGACTCAAATCCTGCAGTGCCAGACGTGTCCCCCTGCTTATGCCAGTACATGTCCAACATGTCTTCCAGCATGACAATGATTCCAAACCAGGCAACGGCAATGAAGGAGTGGCTCCGTAAAAAGCATTTCAAGGTCCTTGGAGTGACCCCATAGAAAATTTGTGGAGACAGTTGAAAATCCATGTTGCCCAGCGACAGCCCCAAAACAGAGGAGACTTACAGGAAATGTTAGACCTCTGTCATTGTTAACAAAGGTTATGTTACAAATTATTGAGTTGAACTTTTGTTATTGACCAAATACTTATTTTTCCACCATAATTTACAAATAAATTCTTTAAAAATCCTAAAATGTGATTTCCTGGATTTTTCTTTTCTTCACATTTTGTCTCTCATAGTTGAAGTGAACCTACTGTATGATGAAAATGACAGACCTCTCTCATCATTCTAAGTAGGAGAACTTGCACAGTGCATCTCGGTGGCTGACTAAATACTTTTTGGCCCCACTGTATATGTATTTTAATACATGCACAGACAAATATTATATATATAAGCATATTACAGTAAGATATTTTGGTTAAAACATTTTTTTTTTAGTTGGTAAATGGAGATGAACAAAATTTTCTTTTCAAACGCCCTTCACATTCTTTCCATTCTTTAATCGTCAGACAGCTCCTTATTTGGCATGAACTCGAACCGTTTGATCAAGAGGCAGGTTAAATGCCAAGAATAGCCAGACAGAAAACTGTAAAATATGAAGTGAGTTTACCAACCTGATTTGGTGACATTGAGCTGAACTTTGATTGACTCATACAGGTGGCAGTAATGATGATGCAGGTTACAGGAGTATATTCCTTTGTCACTCATTGCAACATCTGTATGAAGGAACCCAGACAAAATGCATTAATTTATCTAGAAGATAAACATTGGGGCTTTGCCCGGACGTTTTGAAGTTTGAAGGTTATTTTGAAGTGTGAACCTTAAATAGGTCTTATTTTTGAATACTTGAGCAGTTTGAAGGGATTGAAAGATAGGTGGCTGCAAAAGTTTTCTTGTGGTTGTTGTTGTTCCAAATGGACATACATATAGAGATTTATTAACTGTTATATTTTTAAGTAACATTTGTGTTGCCCAAAAGTATCTCACCTTTAATTACCAATGAGAAGTTGCCATCCTTAAAAGCAGTCTTGGGCATGTTAATGCGTCCCTGGTTGTAGCCATTATAGATGCGCTGGTCTCCAGCAGAAAACATGTCTAAAACACGTTCCATTGCATGGTCTGGGCCACTACGAAGTAAATCCCAGTGCACTACCCGTTGGCGGTCCTTTAGGCGGTCTTGGGTCCATACCATGCGCTGACTATGACACTGCAATATCGCCTTTGATCCCTGGGGTGCGCTGATATTGTACATGGCCACCACCACGCCACTGCCATCGCTTTGGCCTAGCGCTGACACACAAAGAGCAGGGTTCCCGAAAACAGATTAGGTCTAATGATCGAAAAACACTATCATATGTGATTCCTTAAAGTAAATGGGGCAGTGCTGTTATCATAAACCATATGTTGCTACAGCAGCAGTAAACTAGTCGTTTCAGCATTCTCAGTCCTGTAGATTCTGTTCAAATGTTTTGGGTCGGTAAGATTTTTTTAATGCTTTTGTACGAAGACTTAAAGGGTTAGTTCACCCAAAAATGAATTCTGCCAGTAATTACTCACCCTCATGTTGTTCCAACCCTGTAAGACTTTCGCTCATCTTTGGAACACAAATTAAGATATTTTTGATGAAATCTGAGAGCTGTCTCACTCCTCCATAGGCTTCTATGTTACTGAAACTTGCCGGCCCAGAAAAGTTAGTAAAAACATTGTTAAAATAGTCCAATTGACTACAGAGCCTCAAACTTAAATTTATCAAGCGACGAGAATACTTTTTGTACGCGAAAAATAAATAAAAATAAAATAACTAATTTATTCAACAACTCATTTTCTACTCTGTGGGCTTCTGAGTGAGTTCAAGAAGTGTAACTGCTCAGCGCTTCTGTGTTGTCCGAATGTAGGCTCACTATTGGCCGACGCTGGTCATGTGTGTGATACAGTGAGCCACTGTAGTCACTTGGACATAGAAGCCTATGGAGGAGTGAGACAGCTCTCAGATTTCATAAAAAATATCTTAATTTGTGTTTCGAAGATGAACGAAAGTCAGAATTTTCACTTTTGGGTGAACTAACCCATTTATTTAATTTATTCCAGTGATGTAAAGCTGAATTTTCAGCTTCATTTCTGCAGTCTTCAGAGTCACATGATCTTCCATTAATCACTCTAATCAATATCATCATTGTTAAAAACAGTTGTGCTACTTTTGTGTAAATCATGATACATTTTTTTAGGATTCTTTGATGAACAGAAAATTCATTTGAAAGCATTTACTTGAAATAAAAATCTATTGTAACAATGTTTACAATCTTTACTGTCACTTTTAATGCATCCTTGCTGAATAGAAGTATTAAATTCTTTTAAAAAATCTTACTTACCTTAAACTTTTGAATGGTAAAGTATATTTTTGGATAATTATGACATTATGTAAGGTGCTTGATAGACTTTTGTTTAAAGTTTATATTTTTATGGTTCAAGTTATGCACTTACCAATGCTGAAGAGGAAGGAAGCCAGAACTGTAAGCAAAAAAGAAAAACAAGTACAGATTAAATACACAGTGCTGAGAGACCACCTCATGAATTTCATCCCACTACATTAAAGACCAGAGATATTATCAGTGTTTTCAGAAATCCCTGTTTACAAGCTCTGAAAAAAAGCAGCAGGCACTTAATCTGACTGGATTGGTGCTTCATATGAAGTAATAATAGTTCCTAATATAGGAAACATACAGTAGATATAGAGGAATGCAGAGACAGCAAAGCAATACTTGATTCAAACCAAACAGTTTCCCGAGTAGCACCAATTTTTTGAATTTGCATCACTTTTGTCTGAAAGTACTATTTATGGATGTTTGTATGAGTCTGTAACCCTAAAAAATAAACAGCTCTCCTTGCATCTGCAAGAAGAGTCAAAACACTCACGGCTAATAAAACATTCCTTTGTAATCTAAAGTAAATGTTAGACTTAGAATATAAATATTTAACTAGCCTACATATTACCTAAGCCCATATTATTCTCAATCACGGAAATTTTAGTCAAATTGAAGTTCGGGACAGTTCACCCAAAAAGAAAACAAAAAATCACCCAAGCTCTCTTTGCATGCTCATGAGAGAAGTAACAGATTCAACAAATAGGTAACACTTTACAACGAGGTCCCATTAGTTAGTTAAAGGAGTAGTTCACTTTTAAAAAAACTTTTGGTGATAATTTACTCCCCCCATGTCATCTAAGATATCCATGTCATTTTTTCTTCAGTCGAAAAGAAATTAAGGTTTTTGATGAAAACATTCCAGGATTTTTCTCCATATAATGCACTTCAATGGGAACCAAACGGTTCAAGGTCCAAAAGACAGTTTCAGTGCAAACTGCAAACTGTTCAAAGGGCTTTAAACGATTCCAGACGATGAATTAGGTTCTTATCAAGCGAAACGATCGCTCATTTAAAAAAAAAATAAGTTTAAGTTTTATAAGCTCAAATGGTCGTCTTGCGCTGTTCTGTGATGGGCGTTCATGACTCTCCTGTTCGAACTCGTTTATCAAAATGAACGAATCTTTTTTCGTGTTATTTGGTTCATTCAACGAACAATAACACGAAAAAAGATGAACAATGAACGAGTTGAAAAGATTCATTCATTTTGATGAACGAGTTTGAATAGGAGAGTCACGAACGCGCTTATAAAAGCATATAAAACTTAAACTTTGTTATTTTTATTTTAAATGAGCGATCGTTTTGCTTGATAAGACCCTTATTCATCATCTGAAATCGTTTAAAGCCCTTTGAACAGTTTGCAGTTTGCACTGAAACTGTCTTTTGGACCTTGAACCATTTGGTTCCCATTGAAGTCCATTATATGGAGAAAAATCCTGGAATGTTTTCATCAAAAAAATAAATTTCTTTTCAACTAAAGAAAGAATGACAGCGAGTAAGTAAATTATCAGCAAAAGTTTTTTTTAAAGTGAACTACTCCTTTAATACATAAATTAACAACGAGCAATACATTTGTTCCAGTAATAATTCATCTTTGTTAATATTAGTTGTTGACAAATATTGTAGATTGTAGGAAAATAGTGCACAATGGACTACTTTTAATAAACTTTTTTAAAAACAACATGAGGTGAGTAAATGACAACAGAAGTCTTATTTTATGAACTTTAAGACTAAGGGAGTGGTTGAACAGTTGCAGATACTCTTGCATTAAGAGGGTCTGGGGAAATCCAACCACTCCCAGTCATAAAGTGGTAAAAAAAAATATATCTTAAAATGGGTTGGTTTACTTGTTTTTAAATTCTACTCACACAACCCACATGCTTAAAGACATACAGTACAAAACTAAACACTGTAGGATGTTTTTAGCATTTCACAACATTGTGAAACACAGCATACAGCTGTGATACCGCTCATATGACTTAACTGGAATAGTCATCAGTCACTGTCTGCCCATTAGACTGGGCTCACAAAATATTAAACTTTAAAAAAAAAACGTCTACAATAAAGAATAAATTCACAGTGATACTTCTTTTCACATGCTTTCAACTCTGTATGGTCTTTGAAGCTTGTTGCATGTCATAATGGTTTTGTGTCAAATGTGAAAAAACAAAATACTTTTGAGAATGTACAGCAAATCCTGAGGGCAATAGAAAGGCAGTAATAAGGATGTGTTAGAAGCCAGAGAAACCACACACATCAGAGCGAAAGGCAGAGGAGGTGGAGGGAGAGGGTCAAGGGTTTGGAATCTGCTGAGGAAGCACTTTGAAACGCAGCGGCTTGTCCGTACGCATATTTCATTCACAGACGCACACTCATATTCACACTAACATGCTGTAGGCAAAGATACACCTGCACACGAGACTGTGAACCTATAAAACTGCATCTCACTTTCTTTGTCTTTCTCATATTACATTCTTCATTCAAATTAAAGTAACAGTTCACCCACAAATTACAATTCAGTGCCATTTGCTCGCTCTCATGTCGTTCCAATCAAAACCTGTGTGAATTTCTTTCTTCTGTGGAACTGAAGAATATTTTAAATAATGTTCGGGTCCAAACAACACTGGATCCCATGAAGAAAAGAAAAAAAAAACACTTGGATATTTTAACAATACCTTCTTTTGTGTCTTTTGAAAAAAAGTCAAGAAGGTTTGTACACGAGGGTGAGTAAACAATGACAATTTTCATTTTGGGGTAAACTTTCCCTTTAAGCTTTTTACAATAAACTTGCAATATGTCATTGACTTGACAAAATGTTTGAACAGATTATCAGAAAGAAAGAAGATTAAAAATGAATTTTATTAAACTTGTCTTACTCTCTCTTTCTGCAGCAAATGTTCCATTTTCTAAGTCTAAAGTCGGATCTCAGATGTTCTGAAACTGAATATAGTTTAATAAAGAAATATATATTTTTAATGATAATTTCATGATTTCATGAATAGCGCTACACCTGAAATAAGCCAGTGTTCCTAATCTCAGCCAAGTAGAAAACTGTGAGCAGTGTTGTTTGTATGGCCTGGGTATATTTAAAAGCCTTGAAGCCAAGGTTTGTTTACATGACTCAAAATATAGTACACTTTTGTTGTCTTACTAACCTGCTGGTTGTGCAGAATCATAATGTTATGGGATTTTCCACTCAAAATAAAAACTAACAAGTGTATTAATTTAAGCTGAATGGTCAAAAAAAAAAAACATAGTAAGTATATTGAGCATTTTACTTCAGTATGTCAGTGTACGGACTGGAACAAATACTTAGAAGTTAATATGGAGGCAAAGACAGCAGGTCCATTTCAAACAATGGTTAGTTTACGATGAAACACCAAGCTCCAACTAAAAAACAAAACTGCCAATTTGGACCTGTCTTAAAGGGACAATGTGTACTTTTTTATGTATTTTATTCTTTAAAATCAAGATTTTTATTCATAAATATGTCCTCAATGGTGTACAAATACCATTATCTGACTTATCCTCATAAACGAAGAATTTAATATCTTGGGACGGGCAGCTCCACGGAGGCTTCCATGTAGTTCTGCCATCTTGAAAAAATATAATAGCAGAGAGGGACATAAAGTACTAGGCCAACGTGTTTCCACAACGCGTTTTCGTTCAGAGCCGGCGTAACGTGACTGAAAGCAGCAGAAGCAGAGGAGCAGAGAAGTGAGAGGCGCTTCACGGGCCAGCAAGTTTAAACGGCTGCATTGCAAATCCTCGTCGCCAGAAAAGTCCAAAATAGATCGTAAAAGGAAACGTGACCGGAGATTACAAAAAACACAAGTTAATGTCGGGATAGCGTTTTTTCCAGGTGGATAGAGCTAATGCAGGAGAAAGATTTCAAAAGAGACGCTGAAGTCCTGCTTTCTTCTCGACAGGTAAGACAATGTTACGGTCTTAATTACAAGCTTTTTCATTGTTTGGTTGCGTACTATATTATATAGACAGATGAACATTTATTGTTAAAAGTTAATGATGATGAGATCTAACAATGCACGTACTTCAGAAAATATAACGAATGAAGAAGGCAAACGTATTACACTAGTTCATGTTTTTCACAGTCAGCAAACTGTCATTGTGTCAAGTTGCTGTTTGTTTGAAATAATAAACCTGTTTACCTGAAGGAAGACTCGACGAAGTGCTATTAGAAGACCTCCTGTCATAGCTTTTTGGTACATATGGTTACCGTAGATGCAATGCACATTTGAAAAAGCGAGGCACTGGAGAGCACAATTCGTTTGAATGCATGCAAAATACATTTTCACCGCTAGATGGGAGAAATTCCTACACATTGTCCTTTTAACTCAAATCCTAAAATTGCAATGTTGACGTAATCTGCAATAAGATGAGTATGTCTAAATAACAGTAGGCACTCTTCGCTTTAAATAAAACCTTATGTCTTTATTGTTTGTGTTAGACTCAAGTGAATCACACTGAATCCCTCTTGAATTCTAAACATGCAATTCTAGGTCCAATGTGTTAGGTAAGGGGAATTTTCTTGATTCATACTCTTTTCAGTGCAAAGACCTCAAAAGATTAAGCTTCGGCTCTTGGTGAACCATCAGAGACTTAAACAAAGTCATTGTGCATAAACATCTTGAACAAAATAAAATTCCAAGCCACATTAAGGAATTTATAAGACAGAATTTCCAGAATTATAGCTTTTTTCTTTTCTTTTCTTTTTTTTTTTTTACCCTTATATGTGCTTTACCTTTGGTGCTCATGTCATGCAACTCAGGTTTGTTTGGAGCAGAACTTTTTCTTTGGGTTAGCTAGTTCAAAACAAAGTCATCAGTCTTGGACGCCGGTTTGACTTTATCTGCGCCAGCTGGTTTTGGCATTTGAGATTGGGTCTCAACAGTGCAAAATACAGACTGAAAACCCATTACATGACACTATAAAACGTTTAAACAGAAGAGAATATGCACAAACATGTACAATGACTCTCAAGAGACATGCAAAGATATAAGTTACACAGGTAGAATAACCTGACATGTTTCTTGTACATAAACCCTCCACACAAACACTCACACTTTGATGTATTGGGCTACATTTTTAGAATTCTGATCAAATAGACTACATAATACACAAGCATAATACGTTATTTTATCAGCAGTCAGTGTAAATAACAAATAGTAGATTTGCTTCAACTGGATAAATCAGATACTCACTTTGAGCCAAGAAAAGCGCTCGAGCGCACAAGGGCACAGACAAGATCATGATATCCTCTTGGGTTGATCACTCTAAGATACGTTGAAAACAATATAAAGCCGAATTAGCAGGCTTTATTCACCTGACAATTTATCGCGAAGGAACACTCGCTGTTTGTCGACCAGCGACATCAGCAGCGGCAGCAGTCTGTACTGACCCACCTTCAGGAGTCCCTCCGCATGGCCTGCCCCCTTTAAACATCCCAACAAACCCTTCAGATAGGCTACTGTCTTTGTTCATATTCCTCTACTCTGAAATAAAATGTATGAAATAAAAATGGCACTTTTAAGAGCAAATATGAGAATGTCTAATTGAACCGTTAGACGGGCTCTGGTTTAATGAAAACCTGTAGAATAGGTCAACATCCGGGTATCTCTCCAGTCCACTGGAACTTTAACGCAAACGTGCAAGTTTCACGTTTGAGGGGGTTAAACCGTGACATCTACACGTTTTCCAAAGTGGACCAACGTGATTATTTCACGTCTTGTCGTGATATCGGGTTGCAACATCTGATGAACTCACACAAACTTATTTATGTAGCAATCTGTAAACATTTAACAGATGTCTTTGATATACATAGTATGCTATGACAGAGACGTATGTGTGTAACACCTGGTAATAATTAGAAATGGTGCCTCAGTCGCTGTTTCATCAAGGTGTTGTTGGTGTGTTTACAGGCTTGCTCGCAGCATGGTTATGGGCCACATTGCAGACTCAGCTCCCGCAAATTGCCGCAATGAGCAATAAAACTATAGGGAACAAACAATCAAGACAGCCTCATTCTCATAAGAACCCACGTCTGCTAGGCCTATAGTGATTTTAAAGCAGCCTTTGGGATTCATGCTCAAATAAACGAACTATCATTTCACCAAACATTTACGGAAAACCAATTTCAGTGAATTATAAATGTGAAAGTGTGATAACTAATAAACTGCTGCACGCAGCACATTTGTTTCTGAATAGTAAGAGTAGCCTAAATGCCTAGTTGATTTAATGTTTTGGCCTGCTTATATTTTGGGTTTACATAAAAAAGAAAAAGATGATGGGAAAATAAGTTAAGTTGCATGCCCACATATTTCTCCATCAACTGTACAAACAACAAATTAAGTCAAAGATTTAATTTTTTAAAAGTAGATATTTGCTGCCACCTTCTGGATTAACTAAATATTGCAATTATTCTGCACTGCGCTCTAAATAATATTACAAAAAAAGAAAACCTGCATATGTAACTAAAGCTATTAAAACATCATATAGTTGAGACATAGGTGCCAGTCACTATATGACACACGTGTTGTGAGTTTTAACGCCAATGGAATATCTTCTCATTAACAAGAAATTAAACAAAAAATACACACTTTGCCAGTGGATCTGTCATTTGAAGCATTTTAATTAGAAGTTTGAGTTTGTTTTTTCTTTCTTTTGAGAACATTGTGCAAATTGGTAACCTGTAAATATTGAAGATACATACATATGTAAACTGATCAAATCCAAGACATGGATTCAGCCCTTATTATGATGTCAAAAGACAAATTAGAGACAGTGCCAAAAAGAGACATAACAATCAAAAGGCATCAACAATAAGTATATTTTCTACAAAACAAAGCAGGTTCAATAAATACCATATTTACAGAACACTGGGGAAAAAAAATGCATGCATGTTGATTTTTATTGTGGCGTTTGAAGCAGAAGTAGTCCACAGTTGTTATTTTTTATTTCATTTTTTTCAAAAGTCTGAGTCAGTAAATTACTTCAACATAATAGAGTCAAGCTATTGTAGCTGTTTCAGGAGCTACAGTTTATCATCAAGCAAAAGCCCTTAGGACTCAGAGGTCAAATGATTTTTCTATCCATAAAACAATTCATTTTAGGATAAAGAGTGCTTTAGAGTTTATATTCATAGTGTGTGTGTGTGTGTGTGTGTGTGTGTGTGTGTGTGTGTGTGTGTGTGTGTGTGTGTGTGTGTGTGTGTGTGTGTGTGTGTGTGTGTGTGTGTGTGTGATAACAGACCTTCACAGGGCAGTAATGCATGAAGTACACAATTAGAAGTTGGAAAGATGATTTTTTTTTTGTGCCTTTTACTTTGCAAAAACCCTGACAGTTGCATTTTTAAATACAAGTTGATTAACTCAAGTCTCTTTTATTCATTTTATTCATTGTCAGGTATTATACAAAAATGCATGTCTTTGTATGTATGACCCTTCAACTTTATTAAATTACTGAATTATGGTCATGGCTTTTATCAGAGAGTTCCACAGCGTTCTCCCTGGTTCTCTTCATGTCACTGAGTTCTATGTCCCCATGGGTACACGTTTTTTGTAGATGTAGTCTTGGACCAAAGACATGGTTTAAGTCCCACCAATAGACCAGCTAATGGCATCAGCTTCATTTACTCAAACATTAAACTTCCCTAGAGGAAGAAAAAGCAGAATAGGGTTAATATAAATAGCAAATTAATGATATATCTAATGTGATCTTCTTTATGTTACTTCAAAGCAGCTGTTAACAATTATAGCGTTTCATAACACCAAATCCTTCACTAAAACATCAAGGAACAATTAGTCACCCTCCACTAGGTAATACATGGAAAAAAAACAGTATTCTAGATGCAGTCATTCTCTCTGAAGTTCAAATTCTCTAATAACTCTGGGTGGAGACTGAGATTATTAGATAAAACACACTAGGGACAAAAGCCCCTGGATGTTGAAATGCCAGTTTCCCACAGACGGCTAGACAATAGGGGTTTGGCTGTCCTGTGCCTCACTGACTGAGATCACTGTCTCGCCCTATAAAAAGCTATATCAGAAGAGCACATTGTCTTCTAATGAGTCCACACTGACAGCTAATAATGTGCCACACTCTGCGGTGAATATTAACAATGAAGAGGGCATGTCTGGACAATGAGGGACAACCTGCAGGAACAATCTGTCAGCAAGCTATTAGTGATTTTGGGGGTACATCCTAATGTCTAGTGTTGAAATCTCTTGAAAGCAACTTTATAGGAATGGCTAAATTAGCATGTGCAGTTGAAGACAAGGGCTAAGCGGCTTGTTTTAACTGCAACTTGCTCGTGGATACACGACTGAAACTATAAACTTTTCCATTACATTTTAGGACCTTTTAAGGACTTTCATGAGTTTTATTCTAATTACAGTAACGAAAACAGCAAATACTAGCAAATTGTCCTTTACAAATGTTATGTACACTACTGTTCAAAAGTTTGGAGTTAAATAAAGTTTTTTTTTTTTTTTTTTTTTTTTTGCAAGGATGCTTTAAATTGATCAGAAGTGACAGTAAAGACATTTACTGTAGATTCAAATTTCTATTTAAAATATATGATGTTCATTTGAACTTTCTATTCATCAAAGAATCCCGGAAAAATTATAACACAGTTTCCAATAAAAAAAAAAAAATTATAAATAAAATTATGAAAAAATAACTTTTTCTACATTAATAAATAAGAAATGCCTTGAGCAGCAAATCAGCATATTAGAATGATTTCTTAAGGATCATGTGACACTGAAGACGACTAATGGTAGCTGAAAATTCAGCTTTGCCATAACAGGAATAAAACATATTTGAAAAAAAAAAATTTTTCAATAGAATAATTTTAAACTGTAATAATATTTCAAAATATTACTGTTTTTACAGTATTTCGAATAAAATAAATGCAGCCTTTGTGAGCATAAGAGACTTTAACATCACCAAACATTTAAACGGTCGTGTACTTTAAAATTACAATATTTAAATTAATATTTTTGGATTACTACATGGTGTTGGAAAATAATATTCTTGCAAAGAGACATTGAAATTTATATTTTTTTCTACCACAATGTCCCTTAAGGGGCTCCATAAGTTACTGAAGATTGGGAGAGAATGATTCTGAATTGATTCTGAAATAGTCACAAAAAACTAAATTAGGCTTCATTATCTTTGTGTAAAATAAAATGAATAATGAATTTATGAACATGTATTTATGAACAATAGTTTTATATATGTTATCCATTATAAATATACAAATATATTTGAATTATTATTATTATTATTATTTATTTTTTTTTAGTTAAGTATGACCGAAATATGTGAAACATTAAGTGTGATTGTAGACTTACGATGCTGTCAGTGTTGAATTGAGCACCATGGTAGCACGTATCCTGTGTAACTGAGCCACAGTCAGTTTTTTATGCTGCTGATGTGGCTGCTGGGAAAGCACCAAGTCACTTTTTTCCTCCAGACCACAAGAGGGAAGTGTCTCAATCTCTGTGATCTCACAGTCTGCCTGGCCATTGGGGCAGCTGAGGGTCCTTTGCACATGCCTGGCCTCTGCTCGCCTAAGAGTGCTCGTCAGTTGGTTCGACAATGCTTTTGGATCCTCACGGAGGCCTTCCTCGTCCATCTTGAATAACTCAGAGCTTTGAGCCGAATATTTGGCAAGGTGTGTCAAACTCTTGCTTACATTGTTCCTGCCAGAGGGGCGGAGAGGACCGGTGAGGCATTTAAGGAGGTCATCTTCGGAGCGTGACCTGAGGGTAAAGTGCTGCAAGTAGTCTGGGCGGGGCTGAACGGGCGAACGGCGCCGCAATGTTTGGGAGCGACAACCCATGACCTGAGACATCCCAGAAAAGTCATTCTTCTGCCGGAGCTCCTCATTATTCGCATGGTCGTGGTCTAAAATGTAGGACTCATTTACAGTAATCTGGGAGCCATTCCAGGTTATTGAATCCTCCTCGTCACCATCTTCGTCATCCTCGAATCCCTCTTCTTCCTCCCCAGCATCTGTCTCCTCTCCCTCGCTCTGGCAAACCGCTCCCTTTAAATCAAGTTCTGTGATCAGGGACTGAGGTGAGAGAGTTCCATACGCACTGTCTATAGAAAGAGAGCGACTTTCTGCATCCAAGTCTGTTGTGACCAAATCAACTTCCAGAGTTTTGCTGTCACTAGTAGAGAAGGAATCTCGCAGGCTTGAAGAATTAGACAGCAGGGGATTTTTTAATGATGCCGTCTGAACAGTCGACAGGGACCCGACCTCATCCGCTTCTTCCATGGCAGCCACGGAAAGGGTTTCTGTGGAGCCATCGGAGTGACTTGGTGAAGGAGAGAGGCTTTTGGAAAAGGAAATTTAGATTTATTAGAGTGCTTGATGTACTTTTATGGAACGCCAAAGCTGACTTAATTAAAAATAAATAAATAAATAAATACATACATAAATATATATACGAAGAAATGGAAAAAAGCAAAAAATACATAAATAAATGTAGAAATAAATATACAAAGAAATGTAAAAAATTACAAATAAATGAGTATTTACACTTTTATTTCCTTATTTATCTATAATTGTATTTTTTCACACATTTATTTGTTTATTTCTACATTTATTCATTTATTTATTTCCACTTTTATTCATTTCTACATTCATTTATGTATTTATGTAGTTATTTCTACATTTATTTATTTCCACATTTATTTATTTCCACATTTATTTATTCCAACATTTCTTTCGCCGTATGCTAATCAAGGGGCCGTGTTTTAACTCAGACATCAGCAATCGAGCTCAGAGTGGCAGTGCTGAAGCTTTGAGGCCACAGCGACACTTTGTGGTGTGTGACCCTAACTGTGTGTAGGGTAGGCTATATATAGGGTTAGAAATGTTGGAATAAATAAATGTGGAAATAAATAAATTTAGACATAAAAACATAAATACATAAATGAATGTAGAAATAAAAAGTGGAAATAAATAAATGAATAAACGTAGAAATGTATAAATAAATAAATGTGTGAAAAATACAATTATACATTATACAAAAGTATAAATACTCATTTATTTGTACTTTTTTTTTTACATTTCTTTGTATATTTATTTATGTATTTATTTATGTATTTGTACTTTTTTTTACATTTCTTTGTATATTTATTTCTGTATTTATTTATGTATTTTTACTTTTTTTACATTTCTTCTAACACAGGAGTGCCCAAAAATAAAACAATAAGCCAAGCCCTGTGAGAAAAAGTAATGCAAAAGTAACGTTCTTAAAAAGTAACTAAGAAACGCAATTAGTTACTTTTTAAGGGAGTAACGCAATATAATGTATTACTTTTCAAAGTAACTTTCCCAAACATTGGATCTGTATATATGTATATACTCAATACAGTATATAAGGTATCATTTATAAACAGTACCTCTTGTCTAGAGGGTCTCTGTGCTGTAGTGATGGAGAGCTGGAGGTGGACATGCTGCTTTCCGTCTCATCCTCATCTCTGTCATCTGTGTCATCTCTCTGGGCCTCGGAGCGAAGTCTCTGAAGTTGGTTCTGCATGGAAAAACTCTTCATATTAAAACTAGCAAACAAACCATTAGTAACCAAACGTTTGCAGTGTGTTATTGAATTCTACTACCTGTGCGTTGTGGATGGCCTCAATCCAGCTGCGTCCCTGAGTGCCACTGTTGGCCTGAAAGCAATAGGAGGCCACTGCACAGCGAAACTCATTGAGGTAGATAAGGAGGAAGCTTCCTGGGTCTTTCAGCTCTCGGCACACTACGTTATGGATGACGAGAGGCTGCCGGATCACCTTCACTTTCTCCACACGCTTCACCGGTTTAGTAATCAACAAAACGTCAGTGAACAGGAAACCGTACACATCCATCTGACGGAAACAGGAGGTAATGGAGAGTGGTGAGAAGCTTTTAGACAACTATTGGCTGTAAGTTAAAAATCTATTTCTTACTAAAGTGCACTCAGAAATGCTGGCTCTGATTTAAGAAATGAAAACAAGAAATCGTACCCTGCTCTCTTTCCCCTCCTTCATCTTCAGCGCTCCCTCTAAGAGCAGTTGACGGGTTTCTTCAGGTGGGGCGCCCATGATTGGAGCGGTCAGGTCAAAGTTATTATATTCCCTGAGGATCTGAAGGACCAATGCATGGTGCGATCAATGCAATGCATGCACATCAAGCAGGTAATGGAGTTGCAACTTGTTTGTTCAGTAAATGACAAAATAATACAAAATCTCATATTAATGACAAATGAAAGCCTCAGTGTCTCACCCTCTCCACTTCCTCGCTGGCCCCCTCCATGGCCTCATACGCCTCTATACGTCCAGCGATGGCAGCCAGCTTTTGTTTTTCCTCCCTTTGTCTCATTTGTGAGTCCACACTGTTAATGAAGCATTCAACAGCAGCCACCTGACCAAAACAAATATTATTCAATATAGTATAATAATGAAAAAAGATTAATATAATATAATATAATATAATATAATATAATATAATATAATATAATATAATATAATATAATATAATATAATATAATATAATATAATATAATATAATATAATATAATTAGGGCTGTCAAACGATTAATCGCCAAAATAATCCAAATAATAATCCAAATTAAAAGTTTGTATTTACATAATATATGTGGGTGCACTGTGTATAATTATTTTGTATATACAGTACATAAATACACACACATGCATGTATATTTAAGAAAAAAATATTATTTATATATAAAATATTTATATTTATATATAATCTAAATTATATATAAATCTATATACAGTATATACATGAAAATATTTCTTAAATATATACAAGCATGTGTATGTATTTATCGAAAATAATTATACTCCGTGCACCCACATATATTATGTAAACACAAACTTTTATTTTGGATGCGATTAATTGCAATTAATCGTTTGACAGCCCTAAATATAATATAATATAATATAATATAATATAATATAATATAATATAATATAATATAATATAATATAATATAATGTAATACAGACTGTGTCTGAGTTCCTAGATTTTTTTCTTCTTTATTCAAGAATTTAAATGTGGCCTTAGACTTTTGAACCCCCTGTATATTTATACTATGCTTATATTCTTTAAAAAAATCTGTAAACTTATCTATTTGTTTTCGCTAAATTCCATTCAATTTGGCATTGATTGTCAATTCCAGTGGCCTGAATATACTACTGTAAAAAACATTCAAATAAATGATATCCTACTGAATAATGTGCACATGTTCCATTTCGAAAATTTTTGAAAGATGTAATCTCTTACCATTCTGTTAATAGCTTCACGAGTTGGCGGGTCATCAGTCTTTTTCAGCACACTCTTGAGCAGCAGTGGGTATTTAGTGAGTCTTTGATGAGGCTTCACCAACATGTCTGTCAGCTTCAGCCGGTTGCACTGTTTATGAGTTTCTGCCCACTACAGGATGGAAAAGTTTATTGAAAGTCTCATTTGGTGAACAATCATAAATATACAATCACAGCACAAGGAGACCATGAGGAAATCGCTCAGTCATAATGAGGGTGCTGTTACAATACAGGTTATTATGCTAAAGACCTCTTAAATATCTCTCTCTCATATACAATAAACCGTCAGAGGTGCCTCTTTATTTTCCGCCAGACTAAATACTTCAAAGGTTAAAGAGTAACCAGATATGGATGGTAATAAATACTCACAGTTACGTATATTCTGAAGAGCTCATTGTCTTTCAGTAAAGTGCGCATGTACTCCATACAGCCCTCTTCTTCCATGCAGTAATGGATATAAGGCTTGAATCTGAAACCAAACTGCATAAAAAAATTAAATCAGGTCAATGAAAGTCTTAAAAAAATGGAAGTGAATGAGTGAAAATACTAGTGTGTCGTGTGTGAGATATTGTGCACACTCACAGTACTGAAACCCTGATGTAGTTCATTGGGGTTGAGCACGGTTCTGTTGTGTCTGGCTTTCTCTAGGGCTGGCAACATAACCTCAGCCCACAGGGATGTATGCAGTTGCACAATATCCTGAATGTTACTGAAGAGACGCACAGGTTCGACTTCACTCAGTAAACCACTCTCCTGAAGGTTCAGCAGGCCACATAGAAACAGCTGGTGAAAGAGGAAGAGAATGTGTGATTATATCGTGCTATAAACTGTCAGAACTTAACGGTCACAAGTCACATAAAAGTACCATAAATGCTACAAAATTATTACTAGAAAAGATAACTATTGTAAATTACACCCATGGACTTGGTTGAAAACCATGAGACCTATTTCAATGGCATTATCACATATTTACACAGGTTATACAAGGACGATGCTAATGTATTTATCAGCAGGTTCTTACATCGGTAATGACGTGCAGTTTCTTGATGTAGTCTGACTCTGTTTGCAGAAGTTCCCATATGGCCTCTTGCTGATGGCATTGACGTCTGGTTAAAATCTACAAGACAAAAATGAAACATTTAAAAACAAAATATATTAAATCCACCCAATTAATACATATATAACAATGTCTCACAATGTCTCACCGCACAACTGTTTTCAACACTGCTAAAAAGAAATAGAGTGATGATAATGCGTAGCAAAACAAATGGCTTTTTTTATTTCATAGCAAGTCGGGTCGTTGTTAGTATATTCTGCTTGTCTTGGGACTGATCTGAAAGAAGAGTGTAGTGTAGACTTTGCTTAATAATTAAAAAAATGCGCTGTTTTGTTACTTTGGTTACTCTTACAAAACCGACCACGGCAAGAGCAATAAAACATCCACCTCCATGACACTGCAAAGACCTAACACAAAAACATCAATAGAAAAACTGAAGTTATAAAACCATTCATAACTGATTATGGTCATTAATCTGACAGGTTTATCGTTGCACATGAAGTCAGATAACGTTGATCCAGCATGTATTATGGGTTCTTACTGTACATCCCAATCGATCTATATAAAAATTCTCAAAGCAATGCTCTGGGTAGGGGAGTGTGTTTACCTCAGGATTCTCCAAAAGCTGCTTCCAGCTCTCTTCTAGCTCCAGGTTGGGCTCCTCTTCCCATGAGTCTCTGTGGAACGAGAGCTGCGGTGGCATCTTGGGTAATCCGAACATAGTGTATGAGTATAGCTTACTCTGCAGCTGTTCCACACGATCACACTCCTGAGAAGAGATAAGGCATTATGATAAGACATATATCACATATATGTGATAATAAAGTGAAAATAAAATAAAATAATGAATCATATGCTATTTTGTTTAAATAAGCTAAAAATAAAACATAATTTTATATGAATTTAGACACATTATTATAATGTAGAGTAAGAAAAATGAGTAGTTGAAAAATGAAAAGTTACTAGTTTTTAAAGATTAAATCCAAGTGAGCATTAGATAAAGACAAAGCTAATAAAAAAGGAATGAGAAATTAAATATTCAAAATTGACAGATAAATTACATTTACAATATAATCTAATTTTATAATGATATTGTACTGATTTAAAGTATTGTGCATCCCAAGCATTACATCACCTATTCAAAAGAACAATTGGAAAATGATATCTTTATTTTACCTCATATGCGTAATGTTTAATATTAGACACAAAATGATTACTCATATCATATATTAACACTATAGTGTATTGTTTGCAGCATGGAGTAAATCTCAAGACACATTTAATGATCTCATAAGTCATCGTCACCCTCAAGCAGGCATTGTTGTCCATACCGGACCAACGTCAAGCTATTATATGGGATTTTTACATGAGTCACATAGAGAGGAAGAGGTCTCAGCCTGAGCTTTGACCCCAAGTTTACACTCCCTACACAACCAACCTAAATCTCTAGGGCGTTCAAAAAAGAAAATATACCAAAGGTCCCTGCACGTGAGGAAAAACTAAGTGTGGACTTATAGGAAAGGTCTACTTGTACATTTTCCTGTTTTTGATCCACTGTTAAGTGGTGCAATACTTTGAAAAATTGGTATCTCTTCCTTAGTGGTTAAACACTCGCTCAAGTGTGAAATGCAAAAAGCCTGCCAAGAATATGTAAGTGCTTGTTTTGCAAATGAGCAACAGCCTTGCAAATGTAAAAGAACCCTTGGATGCTCACAGATGCTGACCTTCCCAAGAGAGCCATTTCCTGAGTTTGAACTGAAGAGGCCGCTGAAACGGCTGGCAGCGCGGTTCCTCCAGCGGTCTGTACCCGTTATAGATCCAGGGAGGGAACCACTCAACTGGGATACAGAGTCTTGATTGGGGACACTGGCCTCACCCAGAAACTCCGGCATGTTCTTTCGCCGACGCGCTTGACCCTGTCACAGACAGAAAGTGAGAGAGAGAGAAAAAGAGAGGCAATGAGAAAAAGTATAAGTAAACACAGAACAATGTTTGAATTGAGGCGGGGGCTGGGGTGGCCCTGGTCCCCCTATAAGAGTTGAAGGACAAAAAAACATATATATGCACTGTAAAAAAATATGTTTTCTTGATTCGTTATCACAACATTTTTTCTTTTGTCAAATCAACTTAAATAATTTATGTAGTTCAGATAACATAATATTTTGAGTTTCTGGTGATTAAATCAATCTCCTTCATTCTATTAACTCAATTTTTCAATTTCACTGAACTTAAAATTTTAAGGCAACCAGGTTACTTAATTTTTTAAGTTAAACCAACAATATTTTTTTACAGTGTGTAATTGTTATTATCGATTCTATAATTAAAATATTAAATGTTAAATATTTAAAACTTCAAAAAACGACATTAAACTAACTTTAAAACTATATTTTTTATTGATTATTTACACACTTGACACAAATTAACCTCTTATTGCTTTCTGAAAGAAAAAAAGAAAAAAACACTGACAGAAATGTTGCATGTTAAACTATTTTATTTGTACTTTAAGAGCTTTAACTAAGCATAGGCAAGCTGAATTGACCAACAATGTAAAAATAGTCACAGAGGAAATGCATCTGTCATTCAAACTTTGACAAGAAGTCAAAACAGCTAACTTTGTGACTAAAGTATGGAATGTAAAGTGGCAGAAGCAGCCCGACTCTGACAGGTGAGGAAGTGCAACCAAAACACTCAGGACATTTATACGTAAACAACGACAGGTCTGTTCTCAGACCATCTCTGCACATTCAGGGACATCTTTCACTTGGAGATGGGAAAGAAAAACTTTGCTGACCTTAGGGAGCATATTCAGCTGTCAACAGGTGAAAAGGCCATGTGGGTTTTGCCAACATTCTCCGTACAGAAAGGTTGAAGCATTAGAGACTTGACTGACAAGAATTAGTGAACCCTTTGACCTGAGCGAGCGAGAGGAACCCTTCGGCAACAACAGGAAAAGAGGCAAGGCATGTCTCGGAAAACAGGGGAAAGGCTTTTCCCCGTTCACGACAATGGAAAGAAATGAAGAATGCATGAGTGTAGTAGGGAAAGCCACTCAGTATCCCTTGGGGCTCATTACTTGGACATTGTGTTCTAATGATGCCTTTCTTTTGAGTGGAAAATGCAATTACAATGGGTTAAAAACAAACCTGGCATTTTTCGTCAGAGAAAGATCTTGAAGATCTTCAGGCCGATTCATTCGTCAATGTTCTGGGACAATGCCAATGTTTCTGAACAGACAGAATGTTCTGTGCCAAAAGCCAATTTGTTGCTTACCCAGATCGATAAACAATTCTAGATCAAGTCAATATGCACTTAGCTTTTTACTCTGATCAGATAAATTCACTCACCGGATTTCTGATTTCTGAACAGCACCGATCAATCAATGCTCCCCTACTTGCTGCATATGACAGACCATCCTGGTAGCAGAAAACTAATTAAAGTCATCCTTCAAAGATGACAAGCTCATTGTCTTGGTCTATGCCCATCCGAAGAACCTGTTTGACTCATATGTTTGGCTAGTTTCTTTCTGAGGAACACAAAGTCAACATTGCACCCAGCCAGCATGTGAAGATGTTATATTTCCAAGAGTTATCAGAGCTTACACTGATAAAATTCCTTTTAAAACAACGCAAGCCAATATGCTTGAAGAAACCATTCCATTTCTTATATTTATAGATGAAGAATTCAATTATAAAGAGCAATCCAAGCGCTGCGGCTGCAGGCAACATTTTCCCCCCCATTTATTCCCAGACAGGCAACCGTTGAACATTCATATTTGATTACAAAAAGGTTGAACCATTCAGATAAAGCCTGAGTGTCAAACACAGAAGACAAGTGATAATAAGCTCACCGTAGATGTCAGAGGCATTTCCAAGGCAGTCCACAGCATTGCACGGCATCAAAAGAGAGCCAGGCCCATGCTGCGCCCAGATTCAATCTCCGACAACCTGCTTCCCTCCTGCACCCTCACAAAAGCTACATTGATGTCAAAGGACTAATGCATTTAAATCCACTTCTACAGGCTCGTCGGCTTGCGCGTATACGAGCGTGCGAGTGAACCTGAAGGAGGCTGAGAGGACTGAACGGTAGAGCGCTGCATTGCTGAGGAGGGCTGGCCGGGTGTCATAGTAACTGCAGAATCCTGCCCTCCTATTGTGTGAACAGGAAGAGAGGGAAAAGGAGCAGGGGAGGAGGAGCTCCTTCTGCTACCTCAGCTACCTCAAACAACTGATCCTGGCAGCGGCTCGCTTTAAAATCAACAGCGACATGAGCTGACTGCAAAACAACGTTTATTGCACATCTGCTGTGAATGCAAGCGGGGAAAGGGATTTTCAATGCTGGGCAACGTACGAGTCAAGTCATTTAGTCATTTTCTCGTTGTTTCAAAGTAGTTTTACAGAAAATCTTAATATCTTCACACCTTATAGTCACCTTTAGTAGATTAGAGCTGGCGATAATATAGTTTACATTTTGCTACAATACAAGCAATCAAGTAGTATAGATTTTCTATATAGTATACGGATAAAGTTGGACAAGAGCAGGGTGATAATATAGTAACATTTTGCAATGAAATAAGGTAAATCAGGCAGTTTATATTGCTTTACATGAATGTACTATGTATGCAAGTAAAGTATGCACTAAATATCCCAATTTTATAGATAGTTAAAAAATTTTGACAACATAACAATCAAGCAGTTGAAATTTGCCACATGGCCCTTAAAGTGCTGGCATGCAGTTTATACAACAATAAGAACTGTTTAAATGTGCAAAAATAATTAAATATATTTTCCTTATCAGTTTGGTAAGACAAACTAGTCATGGGTTGAGCCAATGCTCAAAAAGTGTCACGGTGGCACTACAAATGGCTTTCCTATTTTTGTTTCTGCATAAAAATAGGACAAGTTCATCATGTTGTTCTAAACCTATATAACTATTTTTTTGACTCTCTAAAATTGGACAATTGGACAAAATAGTTGAAACATCCTTCAAAATATCTTCTTTTGTGTTCCACAGAATAAAAACGTCATTTTTTTTAAACGACATGATGGGTGAGTAAATTAGCACCGAATTTTATTTTTTAGTGAACTGCCCCTTTAAGGATAGATGGTCGATAAAGTGTTAAATTTGCACTGTGAATATAAACACATTTGGGGTCCTGTCTTCTAAAGCACAGCACACAATTATTCACTTTGTAACAAATCTAAAGGTGACTTAAGTGACTGTGACTAATTAGGTGCTAATTTGCATAACATCCTAATTTGCATTTTGCAGAGAGACTCTCTGAACTGTCCAAAACCAACATTAAGATCAGGTAAAAGAAAGCAAGACGGGAAAAACTCTACCGAGCTCTCTTTCATCCTGTCAAATCTTATAGGGATACGTCTGATAAGGGGGATATTAGTGCTTAAATATTTTGTTTGTGAAGAAAGACTATTCAAACTATTCAAATTCAACTGTTTTTTTTATGTAAAAGCACTTTTGCTCATGCAATATTGTTTGCAGAACATCCACAATGTACCTCTTAACATGAGGTGAAAACGAGGCACATTTTACACATAAAGAAATAAGGAAACACTAAACATTAAAGCATTAAACATTCCAGATGCTTCTCATGGTTACCGATTTACAGATGTCCCCAGGAAAACACACCTCTAATCATATGATACTGCATAAAGAAAGCAAGATAGTTTAAGTTTCAGTTTCCCACAAAGGTTAAGGACCTAATGATGATAAAGCGAATTACAATATAAAAGTGGTATATTTCATATTAGTCATAAATCAAATCAAAACTAAAAACTCTAATGACAATATGAGGGAAAGATGTTTTCTGATATATCAGGGGGTAAGCAGAATGCAACAGTTATAGGTTGGTTTTATATTTTATATGCATATATGGCTATATTTTATATACTAGCTCATTTGGATTTACTGTATATTGCAGTAAGACAACAGACCATTTTCACCGTAAAAGTGACTATACTATAATATAATAAATCATTTATTATACTATATCATATATTATATTATATAATTAATTAGGGCTGTCAAACAATTAATCGTGATTAATCGCATCCAAAATAAAAGTTTGTGTTTACATAATATATGTGGGTGCACTGTGTATAATTGTTTTGTATATATATAAATAGACACACATGCATGTATATTTAAGAAAAAAATATTTATATTTATATATAATATAAATTATATATAAATCTATACGGAGTATATACATGAAAATATTTATTAAATATATACAAGCATGTGTGTGTATTTATATATATATATAAAATAATTATACACAGTGCACCCACATATATTATGTAAACACAAACTTTTATTTTGGATGCGATTAATCGCGATTAATCGTTTGAGAGCCCTATAATTACTAATATAATATAATAAATTGATTTAAAACTAGCAATTTAGATGTTACCACATTAGTATATTTTTCTAGGTTACCTGATATTTTTACAGAAAAATTAAAAACCACAATCTTCTCCTGAACCAGATGATTTGAGACTGATATTAAGCCTGCATACTACAGCATTACCTTGATGCCTTGTTTAGTATCTCCCGGTGGATACGCGGGACTGTTAGGAGGGCTCGGTGTAGCCACAGGCTTGAGGTTGGGAGGTAGCGCGTCCGCAGCTTCGAAGCGCTGCACGCGGGCGGCCACCAACCCCGTAGTATGAGCCCTGTGGGCATGAATCCGAGGAAGCTCATTCAGAGGACTGTAGTGGATCAGCATTCCACCTGGAACCTCTGGGAATGTTGACATGCTGGGCACATTCCATGTCCTCTGACGGAAATTCAGCATTTCCAAGCTGGCACGGGTTTCTTTACCATGCAAGAGGATATAAGACGTAAAGTTCCAGTAGATCCTTGAAAATTATTTAGTCCTCTTCAAGTTAAGGCATTGTCGAAGAAAAGAAACATAATAGATCACGGCTGTATTCAAATCCACCTCAAAACTGATTTTTTGCTCTTCTTTTTCTTCTCTATCTACCCGCGTTGTTTCTCTCTGCTTGTGTTAGTCTTCTGATCTGACCTTTGATCTCAGTGCCAACGCTGAACCGCCACTCGTCCAGGCCGCTCTGTTCCACTTTGTGCCGTCTTTCACTGACACACACACAACTGAATTTCCAGATGGAAATAGCAGGCTGTAGGGCACTATCTTATCATTTCTCTATGGCTTGACAATCGCATTTATGGCTAGTTATGTAAACCTGACCAGCTAGGACACAGTACCCATCTGACCTCAGTACAGTAAAGCAACCTTGCAGTACAGAAAAATAATCGTTCATTACATCTTTAGAGTGGACTGCACCTGTCATTCTTAGTTACAAATTGAACCAGGATCAGTATGTATGAGGACTGAAGGAGTACAAATACATATTGTTGAATTAACGAAGCCAGAAAACCAAAACAAAACGATTTAGAGTAAGTATCAATGGATCTATTCGTGTCTTTCATGTGAAAGATAAAAAGGAAGTAGTAAAAAAATAATCCAATCTTTCCAACTAATTCCACTGGATTTTCCATCAGGGACATCCTGGGTGAAATCGGTTAACCTTGTGCTCCACAAAACTGCTGACGATGCAGAACTTTCGGACAGTCACAAGGAAATAAAATCTCATGAGCTTTGAACTTTGCTCCTGTTTGATACCCTATGTAAATGCTCCATGGGAAATGGAGGTGGATGAATTGAGCACATGCCTAAAAACACATTTGAAATTTCATACAGGGTACATTACAATGATGTGTTTACTTTATTGGGAAGGTTTATTGTTTGATTTCGAGCTTGAACACTCAGGCTGGCACATGCTGCTCAAGTGGAAGTCGAGTCCTTTGGCAGCGTGATCAGGATTTCCGAGACACATCCCTGTATTTAAACAAACTCAACCCTGAACGTGTTTCTGATATGATCCTAGAAAAAGGGGTGGCTGGTTTAGAAACCTTATGGTCTCTAACTGACAGTAATACGGGGAATAAGTTGCAGGTGGCAACACAACATTGTCACAAAACAATAATTTAGTCATTCACAGGGTTTGCGGTAAGTACTTGTCTTTGGAAAAGAACATTTATCGTAATTATATGACGCAATCATGTTTGCACAATGGGTGGAATTGATGGGTTTCAGAAGATAAAAAGTCATGTACTGTACACTCCTACAAGAACAGTAAAATGATGAAGGAAAGGTAACTGGATGTGATAGAAATGCTAGAATGAACGAATGAAGTGGAGACTGGGGCTGGATATCACATGGTTTAATTTGGTGAATATTTACTCAGGGTTAGCTTCTCTTTTTTGTGAAGTATTTTTTCACATACACTGCCATTCAAACGTTTGGGGTAAAAAAAACCAATAATTTTTTTAAGAAAAGAATTGATTTATTCTGCAAGGATGCCTTAAATTGAGACTTTTACCCTGATACAAATAATTTATATTTTAAATACATACTGTTCTTTTGAACTTTACATTTTACATTTCTAAATTACAAAGGAATAAATGATATTTTAAACATTTTAAATTGCAATAATATTTCACAATATTCAACATATCAAAAGACTTTTGACCCCAATTTTTCAAATGGTAGTGTACCTTAAAGACTTTATGTTTAATTATAATATTATGATTATCAAATTATAGATTTGTATTGTTAATGCCTAGGAAATAAGGTATACTTTACTAAATGTGGTAAGATGTCACCATGGGACCTTTGTTAAGGCTTTTCAATAAAATCTAAGAGATAATAGAACAAAACAATTAATGAAACTTCTCTTGTGACAACTAGCCCCGGTCTCCTCGATAAAGAGAGAGTGACCTACCAGGCCGACTAGCAGGTCTGCCGCCTCTCGGCGTCCCAGAGAGCCATGCTCTGCTCGGTCAGTAGAGGAACTACGTGTGCTGGAGGACCTCATGATGGGCAGACTAAGAGAACGGGGGTCTTTCACACACCGCTCTACCCTCAGCTCCTCTCCTGGTCGAGCTGCGCACACACATACACACAATGGGCATTTATGCTTGCCTGAAAATTTATCAAGTAATGTCACATGAATTTATCTAATTCTCCAGTTGATAAATAGTAAATATTCTTCCATAAAATTATTCAAATTTAACTATTTAATTCCTTTGTAAGGTCAGACTGCTCTGTTTCTCAGAGTGCTTCATTCTTAAATCATAACAAAATATGATCATATAGCAACATTAAAGGGACAGTTCACCCCAAAATTAAAATGTTGTCATTTTCTCACCTTCATGTTATTCCAAACCTATATGAGTTACTTTCTACTTTTGTGTTCAACAGAAGAAAGAAACTCATACAGGTTTGGGACACCTTGTGGGTAAGTAAATAATGACAATTTTTATTTTTGGGTGAACTGTCCCTTTAAATGAGCAAAAGTGTTGTATCTCTATATCTACATTAAGAAAATGAGTGAAAGGAGATATTGTAATCGATTCTCTAATATTTGATTTCAGTCATTTCTATTGATTTCACAGTATAGTGCTTGGAAGTACTGTAAGGAGGACATTACCTCGTACTCTGAGGTAGTGGCCACCGAAGCGGTAGGCTTCAAATCCCAGTGAAAGTGGGGTATTGGACTGATCTAGGAACAGGTTAACACGTGACAGCTCGATTCCTTTTCTTTCAAACACAGCTCCCAGGACTTCTCTGAAACACAAAGCTGAAAGGTCAGCTATACATGATTCTAAATGCATTGATTTGTTTATTTGAACCACCAAGCGGTACAAACAAATCACCTCAAGGTTTTCTTCTTCACAGCTGGGACAATCTCCATGCTGACGTCAATATTAAGGTCAAACTTCAGAGTGAAGCACTCTTTGCTAGGATCCTACAGGAGTGAAGAACGGACAATCAGCTTATGTTTTAGGAAAACAGTTATCGCAAATACAAACTGATTAAATCTTCAGACAAAGAAAGGTCAAGAGCACTGACTCAGAGGTACATCACATCCCAAAATCTTGCCAGCAATTTAATACACTTGTTTGAAAAGAAAAAAGGCACATAGACTTAATAAAAATCAGATCTTTTATTCTTCTCTTACATCTGTGTGTCGGCGTCTGGTCTTCTTTTTAACCAATTTCATTCCTCCACTCCTGCGATCCCTGAGATAAATAAAAAAAGGAATGATTGAACCTACATTGAATGCCATGGGGGTTTTTTTATCACAAAAGGTGTCTTTTTCACCAATCACACATAATTCAGGCACTAGACATGTCATTCATTTCAGCACAGCTCAAAGACGCACTGCTTCTATCCACAGAAAGCATGAGGCAAATGGAAAGTTTCCTATTGATAACATTTTGATTATAGAAGCAGTAATGCATCAAATGGTGATGAAGCAATATTTTAAAATAATTAGGTAAAATAATTATAAAAAATTAAATTCCATAATTCCAATAACTGAATGTTCTTCATGGTCCTCCTCATAATTTACTTCTCTAGTTTGTGATTACATGGTTATTATAATTATTTGATATACATTCATTATATAACATTCAAATTACTTAAATAATTGTATTGATTTCTCTGACTTCCAGGTCTAGAAATCAGACTTTTAAAATTGCCTCATGCAGTATATCCAAACAAGAAAGAAACATGATTTCAGCTTGCATCATTATTTTTATCTGTTGCTTCTTAGTTTAAGTATTGTTAGGTTTTATTTTAAACTATTCAGCCCCCTACTTTTTGGACGTGTTTGCAATGTTACACTGTTAATACACTCTCATAAAAAAAGGTACAAAAGCTGTCACTGGGGCTGTACCGTTTCAAAAGGTTAACTTTTGTCCATTTTAGGTGATAATATGTACATTTTAGGTGTTAATATGTACATTTTAGGTGGTAATATGTCAATTTTAGGTGATAATATGTAAATTTTAGGTGCTAATATGTACATTTTAGGTGATAATATGTACATTTTAGGTGGTAATATGCACATTTTAGGTGATAATATGTCAATTTTAGGTGTTAATATGCACATTTTAGGTGATAATATGTACATTTTTGGTGCTAATATGTCCATTTCATGAGCTAAACTGTACATTTCAGGTGCGAATATGTACATTTTAGGTGCTAATATGTACCACTAAGGTACCAATATGTAGCCTTTGGATACAAAAAAAGTGTACCTTTTGAAAAGGTACAGCCCCAGTGACAGCTTTTGTACCTTTTTTTCTGAGAGTGTACCTGATTTGCATCTTTGCTTTAGTGACTTGCGTACTAAAACAATGCAGACTGCATGTGCAAATAAACTATTTTGGGAGTTAATTCATTCTTAGTGAAATCAAGCCCGTGTGCGTATTGCCCAAAAATTAGACGTGACGTAAGCTAAAGCTCCTTAGTCTTTCGAACTGAATTACTAACGTACTTCACATTGCCTGCCAAAAACAGTTTGTACCCAATCATTTATAATGCTGCAACCTCAAGAGTTCAGATTTATACTCTTCGTTCCATTTCCTAAAGTAGTTTGATCACTAAAAGGAATAGATAATCCTATCCCAGAAGTTCTCCAGGGGATGATGCCACTGGAAAGTACACAGACTTCCTCTTTCATTATAACAAACCAAAGCCTGTGCCCATAATGGATGCAAGAATCGAGGGATAAATGTGAAATAGAACTGACCCTAGGTCAGTGCATCCATCCTCTCCGTCCTCCATGTCAGAGGGGGGACCGGTGCGAGGTGGACAGGAACGAGTGGACACGTTCCGGGCCAGGATGGAACCTGTGGGCGAGAGGAAGAAAAGCAACTCTAACATCCTGCCAGAAGCTGGTAATTAGAATTAACTATAAGTTTCATCCTTGTTTTGAAAGCAGCTGACATCTGTTTTCATTTTTCATTGGCTGAAACAAGTAATAGGTTGAAAAAGAAAACAGAAAGAGAGAGCTTTACCTTGTGGCTGGAGGTCAAACCGTGGGTGCCTGTCAAAGAGCATGCCGTCACGGGCGACGGGATGGCAGTTTGAGTCACATGACTCGCAGAGGTGCAGTGGGCTGCCGTCTCTAAGGTTCTGACACGATGGGTGGTGGCAAACCTTGGGCATAAATCAAAAAGGAATAAATGTCAAATTTGAAAAACACAGCAATGAGAAATCCAAATGTAATTGGCAGAATGGTCAAATGGCCACAATTTTCTTCTAAATTTAATGATGATGGGTGTTTCTATAATAATAAAAAGTATTTTAAAGCAATTTTTTTTTAGACTCTTACTTGCTCATTTCATTTGTCCTCTAACAATTTCCAAATGTGTATATTCATATCTTCATGACTCTGAAATTCTTGCAGTAATCTGCATTTTTATGATTTCCTTAGTTTAACAAAGCCTGGGCCTAACTAAGACAATGGTTAAATGAATTCTACACATAAAAGGAATTTGAAAAAAATATCAAAAACAAGGTATGAGCTTTCCATAACTTTAATGTAACCTTCATACTGTATAACAAAAAGAAAAAAAGATGAAGTTTGAATAAAAATCAACCCTTGGGACATAAAAAGTTCAAGAAACACCCTGCTGCGCTATTATGCAACATTATGTTGCCATAAGGCTCAACATACCATGAATTTGCTTTAGCATTCTTACCAAAGACCATTTCAAACACAAGACCAACAGCAGCAGGAAATAAAGTGTGGAAAGATAGAAAAAGAAAGGGATTAAGACCTCCTGGTTATGTGCTTCCTTCTATTGTTCTCTTGATATGCTTCACAACAGAAGCAGCACACACTCAGACAGCGAGAGTCATGCAAAAACTGAGCCGTACTGAAAAGCAGTGATTTTTCTCCTTATGGCTACTTATCAAACATGTTCAGGTTCAAAATAAAAACCCCTCAAAATATATTTAAGCACACATAGTACTCAAGCTAAACCTTCTGAAGGTGCCAAAACAAATTCTGGGGTAGTGACAAAGCGCCGGAGCACTTTCTGAGAGAAAACCACAAGAAGTGAGTAAGCAAGACACAACATGTGCCAGAAAACCCCAACAAACAATAGGAGACAAGAAACAGGAAAATGGGCAGATTCTAGAGGTTATATAAATCGCAAAAGCAGCAGTTTGAAAAATAATCGTTGTGACTTGCATTCATGATCAGTTTTATATGTATATATTACCAAAGTAGCTTCCAGCTCGGGAATTGCTGCAAAAGGCTAAATTGAGCAGAACTACTGCCAAGCCAAACTGTTACTTTATCCTACCTGGAACTTATTTGTCTTTGTCTTCTTATTTGAAATTCCTTTGCAATGAGTTACAGTAAGGAAAAATTATTTAGAAAGCCAGGAGAAGCACTCTGAAAGCTAAAACAATGCATTTTCTTCTCTTTTAAGTTGTTATGTTTGTTTCATACTTTGTTTCATACATATTAATTGTGAGGTACACAAAAATTATATTAATTTCGAAGTAAAGAAAAATAACATAAATCCAACAGCCATTGATGCATCTTAATGTGCAATATAAAATCTATCTCTCAGGTGCGTCACTGCTAATAATCATTTCTGTGCTGTCAAAACTGAATTTTCAGCAGATATTACAGTCAGTCAAATGATCCTTCAGAAATCATTAGCCTATTTTATGCCAATTCGGTGCTCAAGAAACATTTCTTATTATTATCAATGTTGAAAACACTTGTGCTGCTTAATATTTTTGTGGAAAACATGATTTATTTTTTTCAGGAGTCTTTGAAAAAAGATCAAATGAACAGTATGGCATATACATTTTTTGTAACATTATAAATGACTTTACTGTCAGATTTGATAAATGCACCCATGCTGTATCCTATGAGAGAGAAAGTCAACTTTTAATATCTGTGAACACTAACTAGCGGTTTTTCCATGTCCAATGCAAATGGCCAACATAGTAAAATAAAATAAATGATATAATAACATTCAATTTAATTTGTGTAAATAAAACATTCAAAATATTAATTTAAGAAGCAATTACTAACACTAAATCTTGCATTAAGATCTTTTTGCACAGTAACGTTTACAAGGCCTTGTGCAAAATCCATCTTTAGTTTTGCCCCACATGATCTGAAGAGAATGCCACGTTTATAAAATGAGCTTGTGATTGTCTTGTGAAGTCGTTTACAAAGGGCCTGGAGAGGACTGAAAAAAGTATCACACCAGTGCACACACACACACTTAAAGGTCATTAGAGATTTTACACAAGAAAATTATTAAAATGACCACAAAGTGAAATATCTAACAAGCAATACAGCAGGACACAGAACAAAAAGATATTGAACGAAAGCACACAGCAAAACCTTAGATAACTAAGAGAGAGAGAGAGAGAGAGAGAGAGAGAGAGAGAGAGAGAGCACTGTCATTAGTTTGGCTATGCCTCATTTCTCTGAGACCTTTCACACATCAGTGTTAAAAAAATGCAGCACTTCACGCAGCTCAGAGACTTTTTAATAACAACCATAAAACCTCAGCTGCTGCCGTGAAATAACATACAACAATGCATTTATGACACACACCTGATCCTGGTGTCACACGCATGTGTGTGTGCACGTCTGTGAGCGCCTGCCTTTCTCTCTCCCCCTGAAGTGACAGCTTCTCCGCGGTCCGTAAGAACGTCAGCGAACAATGTCGAGTCCCGGGACAACTCGATGCTTTGAGCGCCCAACAACCCCCTTTCTTGCTCTCCCCTCTTCCACTTCCCCTGCTTCCTTCCTCTCTTACTGGCTGCTTCTGAACAGTCAGTGTGAGTGTGTGTGTGTGTGTGGTGATGTAGGTGATTCAGATAGAGCAGCTGTGTGTACCGACTAGATCTAAAAGAGGGTGTTAAAGAGTTGTGGTTTTCCAGCCACACCCGCTCCCACTGATTTTGCCGTGCGCAAACACAGTTGTCCAACCACCCAATATAAAAACAAACACACTGTTCCATGTTTAGTTCTGTCATTTATCATCTATCTACAGTTATTAGATGAAATGTACCTTAGATTAACAGCCACATTTTTAGACAAATGTATGCATGTATAATATTAGTGATAATACAATATATCAGCACGGTAGTTTTAAAATAGTGGCATTTTAAGGTTATCATGCAGCATTGGTCTTGTCCATCTGGTCCCTTTAAAGGGATCACTTTGAAATTAATTTTTGATATGTTTTAGCTTACCTCAAGGGCATCCAAGATGTAGGTGTCTTTGTTTCCACAGTATTTTCAATTTTGACATTTTTCAGTCAAACCGTTGCTGTCTATCAGTCATACACTGGAGGCTAAGGGGGTCCACCAAAAAGCATGCACAGAGAAGTCAAAATTAAACATGATTTAATGACTCGTAAATGTAAGTAACGAGCGTTTTTTGTGAGAAAACGAACAGTATTTATATCGTTTTTACCTTGTGTAATCCAAGTGATCTGAATCAGTTGTGCAATGTCCAACTGAACCGAACTGAATCAGTTCAATGTTACGCCGGAAGTGATCGCTTGCGTGTGACGTCACTCAATATTTACACAGAGATTTCGGAAGTTTTACCTTTTACTAAACATATTTAGATAAACCGAAATCGTCTTCCATTGCGGTTTCCCGTTTATCTAAATATGTGAAAGGTAAAACTTCCGAAATCTCTGTATAAACAAAGAGTGACGTAGGCGCGCAAGCGATCACTTCCAGCGCATGCGCAGACCGAAGCGCCCGTGCCGTCAGATCATTTTGTCATGGCTATGATTACAAGAGGTAAAAACGATATAAATACTGTTCGTTTTCTCACACAAACCGCTCGTTTCGTGTCTTAGGCCATCAATGAGTACTTACATGTACGAGTCATTAAATGATGTTTAATTTCGACTTCTCTGTGCATGCTCTTTGAGGTGAACCGATTGAGGACCCCCTTCACCTCCAGTGTATGACTGACAGACAACAACGGTTTGACCAAAAAATTTCAAAATTGAAAATGCTGTGGAAACAAAGACACCTACATCTTGGGTCCCCTTGAGGTAAGCTAAAACATATCAAAAATTAATTTCAAAGTGAACAATCCCTTTAAGGCAAGTCAGTCCACTCGGTTGCCATGTTGATGACAAACATAAGTACAGCTCCTGCCACTTGGGAAAGACAGAAATTTGTCAGGATTACCAGCTAATTAGCATGTGCATTCTAATTTAAAAGTGTTCATAATCTAATCATCTAATTCTAATTGTCTTCTTTTATATGCAGGTGGATCCAGGGGAGGTGGAGGATTTCAGACAAACTTTGATTGTGTGTTACAGGACAAGTCAGTAAACACTAGAGAAGTGACCGAAAACACATTAAACGTAAACAAATAGTTTCAAACCATTTCTCTCAAAACCAGAGTATGTGAGCGCAACGGTGTGACTCTCTGCTCAATATTACGCTAAACACCAATGCGCTCCGTCACCATCTGTCTCCTGCCATCATCTACTTCAGACTCTTCCCTGAGTGCACACCTGCAGGGGGCTGGGTCATGTGGTGTCAGGATATCCTACATAAAAACAGAGTCTTTGAAGCCTGCGGCTGAGCCTACATCTACCGAATCCAGAATATTACAGTATCAACCCCCCCTTTTTTTAGTCTCTTCATCCTTCCTCTCTTTCTTTGTCAGCACTTTATATATAGCAGGCTGATGTAAGGCCTAATGATGACTTAGTTCATAAAATATTGTGCCTTAAAGTCACAACAACAATATGCAAACATACTCATATTCAAAGATCTCATATAATCTGCCATTAATGACCTCAGAAAAAACAAGATTATACAAAAACGAAACTAAACAGCAAAGGATGTGAAAGAGCAGGTGAAGCATGCCCCATTGACGGCATTCTCTCAGAAACATGCACTGTAAAAAATATTGTAGGTTTAACTTAAAAAAGTAAGTAACCTGGTTGGCTTAAAATTTTAAGTTCGTTGAACTGGAAAAGGTGAGTTAATACAATGAAGGAGATCATCAGAATCATCAGAAACTCAAAATAATAAGTTATCTCAACTAAATAAATTATTATAAAGTTGATTTGACAAAAGAAAAAATGTTGTGATTACTACACTGTAAAAAAATATTATTGGTTTAACTTAAAAAACTA